CAGCAGGATTAAAGATTTTGCTCACCAGAGGCGGTACCGATGTCTGCTCTGGCCCATGGACTAAGGGAGAGCTGGTGGGTTATACACACAGTGCATCCACGTGGTGGTGGTGGTGGAGGATTCGGGAGACGCCAGCCATATATTTCAAGCAAACGACGCTTAACTTTGGTCGGAAACGAGAAGAGGATAGCAGTGACCCAGATCAGTTTTCGTGGACGGATTTCCACACCACCAAAAGTCTAGCCAGCCCTCCGACAGATACAGCTGTCTACTGGCCCTTTTCATGCGTAAACTAAAAATAAAAAAAACCACGAATTACTCTCGATCATTATTTAAAATGTTCATTGCATGGCCGCAATTGTTGCTGCACGGCTTGAGTTCACGTGACAGGGAACAATGGGGGGTCCGGGCGCGTGAACGTGCGGCTCACCACCCCCCCCCCGTCATCACCACTCAACAGCGCGCCGCGTGGGTTACACTTTGGAATAAGTAAAACGGGAATTGTGTTATTTATTAATTTTTTAGCAAAAAAAAAACCTAATTAAAGATTTTCATTGAGACACATTTCTCCGGCCTCTGAAGGGCCGAGCCGTCGTGCGGTGGTTCGGAGTAACGCTGCGGTTAAAATGTAATGCCGCGGTTATTAGATTGCCTCTAGATACCGTAACGGGTAACCGAGCATTAAAATGACTCTCCTCTTGAAGCGCAAACGTCGAAGATACGTTCCGCCAACAGTGTCGACATTTGGAGGGTGAATTTCTCAACGATCCAAAAGAAGAAAACCCTTATCCGGAGCTCCGTCTGCCGCATGGAATACGCGAGCGACATCGCTGCTCTCTGCCGGCTGCATTGGTGGCACAGCGTTTCGCGCACGGTGCCGTGACCCTGGTGACCCGAATTTGATCCCCGGCCATGGCTAACACTACGTGGCGAGTGATAATCTGTGCATACCCGTTCTAGATTTGAAGTTTTCGTGACTGCTAGGATTCATACTCTTTGGTTTTTTCGGTAAAGTCACGTAGGTAAAATTTTTTAATAAATTCAATCACGACGTTTCGGGCGCAACACAAGCGTCCTTCTTCAGGTGGGGACAACTTAAGTGTGTCTCAGAGGTGGCGTAATTACCATAATTACTCGTCACAGCCACCTCTGAGACACACTTAAGCGGTGTAACTTCGCTAAGTTGTCCACACCTGAAGAAGGATGCTTGTGTTGCGCCCGAAACGTCGTGATTGAATTTATTTAAATGTTTTACCTACGTGACTTTACCGAAAAAAACAAAAGTATGTGCATACCCGGTTCACCAAAACTCAAGCGGAGCTTGCACATAATTGCACAAGTCATCTGGCCAAGGTGGCTCTGCTGTGGTTGCAATTTATCATGCTGCTCAGGAGGAAACTCGTTTTATTCACTCGGGGGGTGAATAAAATAATGAAACGTTTTTGTGATAGGTCAACAGCTGTCTTCCCTGCCTGTGGAAAAGACAGGTACTCGGCGTGACAATGTGGAATTTCCATCACTGGTTTAAGGGCACCCAACAATATACTGCATCGCGCGCTTTCAAATGCACTTCTACGGCTGTTTAGAACGCTCTTTCTTCCGATATTAGGAAGCCACTGGAGCTATGCACGTTTAAATCATCGAGATTGACAAACTAATTTATTTAGAACTGCTGTTTGTGTTTAGTTTGTTGCCCTATCCCCGCACCCACGATTAGCACGGTTGGACACGTACGGTGTGAAAGAAGTTTAACATACATACGTACAATCAGAGACCTGGCCCCAGGACTTGAACCGAGGTCCCAACATTGCCGGCGCAGTGTCTCCGACACGGCCACTCTGAGCAAACTCATTGGTGCATCAATGTACATCGATGCTGGCGACAAATCGGTGATTTACCAGCGACCATGAACCACAGTTGATTACTCTTTAAATTTTAGGTCAGATAATTTAAGAAATTAAATATTGTCGAATGCAGGGCGTCCATAAAGATATCATCATCTATCGTTAAATAACTAGAATTCAACAGCGGGTGGATCGGCGGTGCAGTGGTTAGCTCCACTGTGTTATGAAGCCACGTGGCCTCGGTTGGATTTCCGGTCACGGCGAGCATGAGACGCGCGTGATATCCGAGAGCTCCTTTCTGTGGGGAGCGGTGGTGCCGCAGTTAACGCGCTGGCTACAAACCCGACGACCCGAGTTCGATTCTCGCTCACGGCCATCACCAGTGACGATTACCTCAACTGGTATCCTGGGCCTGCCCCTAGTTGGACTCTGGTGCGGTGTGTAAACATCGCCACCAAGGTAGACAAAGGCGGTCGGGCGTGGTGCTGGCCGCCCACCCCCCCCCCCCCCCCCCCTCGTGTGCCGTGCCGGGCTTCATAGCTGCTCGCTAACAGCACTTGCCCCAACAGTCCGTTTAGGCTATACGGGGGATCTTTGTCTTTTGTCCTGGCTGCCCCCCCCCCCCCCTTCATCAACATGCACCGGTGAAATATAGCCACGTAATCCCCTATGACAGACACGTTAATATGTGGGGGGGGGGGGCTCCCTTCACCTAGCAGTAGGTGGACAAACGGCTGCATGTTAACAGCACGCGAGGTGGCGAATAGAAGTGCACGCGCGCGCACGCGACGGGGATTGAAAGGTTTCACTGCGCGAGTTCCCCGTGCACCTCGACGCGTCTGCCGCATGACAGGCGGCCCACACGCAGCGTTCGTCTCGTCCACACGAAGCCGAAGCCTCTGTTTCTTCTATGAGACATCTCCTTTACCAGTGGCAAAATATAGTAATAGGTTTTTACCCTTTCAACTGGTACAAAAACTGACACCTTTATACAAGGCATCATGTTTGCAATAAGCACAACACAAGCAGTCAAAAATGCAAACAAAAAGAAACAACTCTGATAATGATATGCACTGTCCTTGAAGTTGATTGGTCCACAGCCGAGACAGCTTTTCTTAGAGCCTAGTCTCTGTTTCTTGTTTGTATTGCCAAGTTTGGATGGCCGACGGATCTGCCGTCATTCAAAAACGAAACAAACCCAGCGGCGTGGGTGAAGTTTGCAATGCAGGCGACATCGGCGTGGGGAGGGGAGGGGGGTGAGTGAAGCTTTCGTTCATCCAGCAGTGGATTGGCAAAACAAAGGTAGCCTTACCAAATAAAACAAATATTAAAAAAAAACGCATGATACCTTCTTTACGGTCACCGTGTGTGTATGAAACGCGGGTTGGTAAAAAAAGAAAACCGTGAATTTACGCAGCGCGGTCAGTGTTAGTCAAGGTTGTCGGCTTATTTAGAGAACGGGGGGGGGGGGGGGTGTTGGGGAAATTGGGTATTCACCGTTAAATTATTTACACACCTCGCGACATATTTATGTACACTTTACGTGTATTCATTATTCATTACAGCCGGAGAGGGCCGGGAGAGGGGGAGGAGGGTGGGGGGGATGACAAAGCGTGGCTGGGTTGGAGGTATGGCAGCGATGGTACGGTCCGGTGACTTTTTGTAATTATCTGCAGATCGTACCATTATATTTCGTAGGGGTTTGGCGTATATATGCATATACATTTAATTTACAATTTCAATTACAGCGCGTATTATAATTCGAAAATGGGTAAGTTTGGTAATTAATCGGATCTTAAATCTGCAGATTCTGCAAAAAAAACGCATTCTAAATTAAAAGTAATTCGTCTGCGATTAAAGGAAACAATATATTTCGAAGATATTATTAACATATGTTTGCACATGAATGATGTTGCGTAGGAAATGGGTTATCTGCAATCGTGCACGTGTGGGGCGCAGTGGTGGCGCTGCCCTACAAACAGCCGTGAACTGAATTCGATTCCCACCAAATGTGAGAACTGGTTCCGGGCCTCCTCTAGATCCACTCAGCCTTTAAAGGAGTCCCAGGGCTGCAAGCGTTGTCAACATCAGCACTGGGATGAGAGCGCTGGCTGGATGTTGGAATTGTCCACCCCACCCGCCTCCTATGCCAAGCCTGTCTTAATAGGTGCTCACTTTTCTAAGGTTTTTCGGTAAAGTCATGTAGGTAAAATATTAAAATTAATAAAAGTTAAATTAAAATTAAATATTTTTTTATATTATTTTATTTTACTTTTATTAATTTTAATTTTTTTACCTACGTGACTTTACCGAAAAAACCTTAGAATATGAATCCTTGAAGTCACGAAAGCTTTAAATCTAGAATTAGGTGCTCACTAACAGCACCTGCCCTCAACACGTCTGTGTAGCTACACAGGGAGGGGAAGGAAGGTGGGTGGGGAGGTGACAGTAATTCACACACTGCACTACAATCTCCGAGTTTGACTCCTATACGTGGTGGGCCACTTGGTATTTATCTGAACCTGACCTGCCCCTCCACTCTAGGTCGACGACTCAGCCTAAAGTGAGTTGTACAGTTTAAGTATGGCTTCACGGCTGGGATTATGGTGGGATTAGGGTGACATTTCTAGGGGCTTTGCGATGAAGGATGTGTTTTTGCTTATTCCAAAATCTTCGTTGCCAATTGCAATCATAGTTGTGCGTTCGCGTCACCGGGCGAAGAACAGGGCACCCACCCCGTGTGAGAAAACATCTCCCGCGGGGAGACGACATCAAAGAACTACTCATCCTCACGGTAGACACTTTGCCCCCCCTGGCTAACGTCCCAAAGTAATAGGATTACCCCGGCTAACGTAATTTGACGGTTACCACTTCGTGTTACACCACTATTATATCGCGGAAGGATTCAGAGGGATTAGACTGTCTCATGCAACCCAACGCCATAGTAACCTACTTAACACGACCGACGGTTTTCAGCCTGGCTTACACAATCCCCCAGTATTTAAATGCAATAGGATTCAATATTAACACCTCGAAGCAAGTTCACTAATTCAACCCTGCAGCGTTACCCTAACATCGTCCGTTTTCTCTGAACACAATAGGATCCAACGGGATTAGACCAGTTAGCACATATAATCTCACTCCGAAGATCCAGTCTTTGAATACAATAGGATTTAATAGGATTACACTGGTTAGCACATAATCTGACTGCATGAATCCGGAATTTAAATACAATAGGATTGAAAGGGATTAATCCCACCGGTGGGAAAATGTTGGGGTGCTGTTGGCAAGCCGACCTTGGTGTGTGAAGTCACACAACACGTACATCCTAAGCAGAAAAGCAATTCATCAATGTGCACTCTGCCTACGAAAACAAAGAGTTCAGAAGCATGGTCATTGTGGTTTTTTTTTGTTAACGAAAACTTGAAAGTGCGCCAAAAAGTGTGGAGATGGGCATGTTTGAACTCACGTTGAGACATAGAAACAGGAACACTTGGATGTGTCAGGTGATGATATCATTGAAACCAGGGCTGGACATTGGAAGACATGATTGGGGGAACTCATAAGTGATTCCTACAAAAGTAACTCATAAATAACCCCCTCACCACCACCGCTACTAGATCTGGGACCATACACTAGATTTGAGGGGGGGGAGGGGAGAACGAGGAAGGGGGGGAGCTTTGCTCTGCGTGTCTGTGCTCGTCTGTGGATATCTGTCTGTGGGTCTATGGGTCTCTATGCATCTGTGGGTGCCTGTGTGTGTCTGTGTGTCCCTGTGTGTCTCTGTGGGTGCCTGTGTCTGTGGGTATCTGTCTGTGGGTCTATGGGTCTCTATGCGTGTATGTGGGTCTCTGTGCATCTATGGGTTGTGTGTGTGTCTGTGGGTCCCTGTGCGTGTCCGTAGGTATCTGTATGTCTGTGGAGCTGTGTCTGTGGGTCTCTGTGCGTGTCTGTGGGTATCTGAGTGTGTCTGTTGGTTTCTGTGCATGTCTGTAAGCTTCTATTCGTGTCTGTGGGGTTCTGTGCGTGTCGGTGGGTCTCTCTCTCTTAGTCTAGGGGGTCTATCTGTGAGTCATATAAAACAAGATTAATCCTTGATTCCTTCTGGAATGCAGTCGAGGTTCAAATGTTCACTCCCAACCACGACGTCCCATTCCCACCACTCATTCAAACTGTGAAGATAAGATGGCTTGGGCAGGACATGTCACGGCTTGAAGGGATGATAGCCGAATGATCACGACGGAGTGACAACAATGGAACAGAACGTGTGCGATGGCACGCCCATGGAGGAGATGGAGCAACTAAATCACCTCGTGTTCAGGTGCTTGGCGGATCGTTACATTTCAGGATCGTGAGAGATGGAGGTGGCTTGGGTAGGTCTCCATCCAGCAGTGGCTTGACCATGGCTGATGACAACAATGATGATGATGATGACGACGGCCTTGGCATTGGGAATGTGGAATTAACACCGCAGCCTCGGGGGCCAGAAAGGGAAATGAGCAGGGAGACGTTGTGATTCTTTATCCCCTGCGTGTATGTAACGTACGTTGAACTTCTTTCGCGCCGTACATAGCCAACCGCGCTAAAGGGGAAGAACCTCTATTTGACAGAGACACGTGCTGTGAGCGAGCACCTGTCAAGGCAAGGAACAGCACCAAAAAACCACCCCCGTGGTGCGTCGCCCAGCTGGCTTCATCGCGCGCAGGGCAGCCCGATGTTCATTCCCGGCCCACACCACCCACCCAGTGTGTGTGGGGTGCTTTAGCTCTTCACGAGCGAATGAATGCATTAGCCGGGCAAAAGTGAACTATTTGTTCCAGTGTTAACAGCACTTAAAAAAAATTAGTCTTGACCATTTTTTTTCTTTCAGAACTTACTTTTTGTACGAGTAACACTTTCCCCGCTCATCGGACAACTGCTACTTTTTTAAAGAGTTACGCGTGCGGCTAACGAGTCAGTCGACGACGAGTGAACTTTGTAAACGTTTCGTTCGGTGCTGATGAAAGGTCAAGGGTCAGATTGCAAACGTTCAGTTGATCGCTGTGGTCGTAAAAAGTCGCATCAACACGTCAGTTGTCACCTTGCAAAATAATCAATTCTAAATAGTCATTTGGTGTGGTTACGAAGCGGTAACTAGTCAAAACACCAGTTATTATGTTAATGGATTAGCATTAAACTGTAGAGTACGATTACATTCTGCTTAGTGAATATTTGTTCATGTACTCAGACACAGGACATCAATACTGCATATGTGTGTATGTATGTACGTGTGCGTGTTGTGTGTTAATTCGATTTTTGCTAAAGGAACATTGTAATATTGGGGACTGCAAATTTAACCTACATTTTTGATAGAGAGTTGACACAATTGTTGAGGGGGGGGGGTGTAACTTGACATTTAATATTTTTTTACCTTTTGAAACTTCTGCAACCACACCCCAGGTGAGATATCCATGTTCCTATCGAGTTAACCAAGGTTAGGACCAAATTAAAACTGTCCGCTGCTGGTTGTTATAACAGCGACGATGGCAACAATGACGGTAATGGTGATACGGCATCACGAGCAGGAGTGAAAATCAGATTGCTACGGATCGTCGCGTGTTGCGCTTGACACTGCACCAGTGCCCAAACACAATCACAGTTGCCACCTACCTAGGGTTAGTTAGGCCGGCTGTACCTGGACCTCTACTATTCTGGCCCATTTGCAATACAATTCAATGTCCCCCACTTCTCTGGGAACCATTGGGAGAGTCTGGTTCTCTTTTCTCAAAGATCAACGCCACACACTCGGTCAATGGGCCAGAGCACAAACTGGTACCACCCATGGTATCAAAGCGTCAGTCATGCCGATTTATGTATACAGCAGATAGGAGTGAATTTTTGTAATAATTCCACATTTCACGTAATTTACTTGACCACATCGAGCAATTAGAAAGCGATGCCACCGCAGGCTATGGTACCAAACAAGTCAAATATCTGGACCTGGCTCATGGACTGTACCCAAACATGACCATATGCCCAAAAGCAGCCATTTTGTTTGTTTGTTTGTTTAGGCCTGTGTGGTTAAAACAAAAATTTGGAAACCCTGCCTCCTCTTCCCTCACACTCCTTGCCGTTACATTATTGGAACTCTTTACCCTTCACTGTGTCCTCCCGCCTGGTTTCCACCTGCAATATTTATATAGGGGTAAAGCTCTTTTCCACGCCTTATTTAAAAATCGGGCCTTTAGACGAGATGGCAAACCGTGCACCACACACCCTCCACATCCGTCACCAGCTTGGGTTGCCACCTGTCCTGGTTTTCCCAGGACATCCTTTGTTTGAAGTTGCTGTCTTGGGAAATATGTAAGTCTTCCCAGGACATTTAAAAGACCCAGCTTTTGTAATAATACAGCACGCAAGACAATCCATTTACATGTAGTTTGCCCCTCCTATGGCATCGTGAGATATCCTTGATCCTATGATATGTTCTGGTTTTTATACCTCAAAGGTGGCAACCCTACCACTACCTGCAGCCTCCACCAGTACCGCCACTTCCATAACCACCGCCCACCACCATAATCACCCCCAAACCGCCACGATCATTACAACCGCCAGCCTCCACCACCACCACCACATCCGCCACCACCACCACAGCCCTCACACTCAACAATGGCGGACTTTGTGCTGCTCCCCAAACCCGCCTGGCAAAGCCTGCCCGACCGGACCGTGCTGGTACTGGAGGCCCTGCTGGCCCTGTTGACCCTGCTGGGCCAGGCCGCCAGGTCCCTGGGCCACGTTGGCCGCGTGCGGCGCCAGTCCCTGGTGGTGGTGAAGGTGGTGGTGCCCGTGGCCCCCCTGGTGGTTGAGCCCTAGACCCAGGCCGAGGCCCAGGCCCAGCGTGAGAGGTAGGTCCTCGGGCGACCGGCGTAGCGTGAGCGCGTAGTCGCGCGGGCACTCGAACGTGTCCGGCACGGCCACCACGGCCACCTCGTCGGGGAAGTAGTCCACCACGCTCTGCGGCGTCATCGTGGTGGTGGTCGTCAGCGACCTCCTCTTCCTCATCATGGCTGCCGCTTTGCGCCGTGGCTGACGCTGCTGCTGCTGCTGCGGCTGGTGCTGCTGCTGCTGCTGGTTGTTGTTGTGGTGGTGATGGTGGAAGAGCAGCGAGGAGGTGGCGCCGGCGCCGTTGCGGAATTCCTCGTCGTACTCGTACTCCTCGTAGTCGTCCTCCTCGTTGTTGTCGGCGACGCCGCCGTTGTCGACGATGACATCGTCATCGTCGTGGATGAGCACCCGGCACGCGCTGGCACTGTAGCCACCGACGCACAAGCCGCCGCCGCCGCTGCCTTCGACGTCGAGCGGCGAGGGCAACACCCCCTCATCGTCGCTGTCGCCCCACAGCGCTCGCCGGTGCTGCTGCTGCTCCTGCAGATGGTGCTGATCGTCGCCCAGATTCGGCTCACTCTGGTGGCGATGAAGGTGCTGGTGGTGCGGGTCCACCATCATCTGCTGCTGGTGCTGCGGCTGCCGGTGGTGGCGGTGTAGGTTGCTGCCGCCGCCGTGATGGTTGTGCTGCTGGGTGCGGTGGCTGCCCACGCTGCTCACGCTGCTCGCGAGGCTACCCCCTCGCTGGTGGCCGTGCCGGCATGGGTAGAGGCCCGCCTCCTCGCGCCGCCGCTTCTCGCGCTTGTAGCAGAGCGCGGCAAAGGCCAGCACGTTGAGCAGCAGCATCGACGTACCCACCGCGATGGTGACGCTCAGCTCCGTTGAGTAGTCACGCCGTTGGCTCGCGTCGCCGTCCCGCCCGGCCTCGTTGCCGCCTTCGATCCCGCCGCCGGTGCCACCCTCCTGCCGCCGAGTCGAGCCTCCACCGCCGCCCGGTGCGTCCACACTTCCCTTGTCCTTGCGGCTGGCACGGTCCGGCCCCTTGGGCCTCCTCGTCGTGCCGTGGCCCGTGCCCGAGGGGCCCCGGCGGCCAACGGCCCCCGGCGGCCTCCGCGTGGCACCGAAGCCCGTGAAGTGGCGGCCCTCGTACGAGGTGGACGAGGAGGAGGCCATGTACTGCAGGTGCGGCACCAGCTCAAGCCAGAAAGCGACCTTGTTGGCGCGGTAGTGTTCGCGCAGGCGCGGCCGTGGGCCCAGGTGGAGGTAGTGCTGCTCGCGGGGGCTGTAGCGGCGCCAGGGGACCTCGACGAAGATGCTGGAGCGGGCGCCACCGTCGATGCCGTCCTCGCCGCCGGCGCCACCGCCGCCACCGCCGCCACCGCCATCGATGTCATCATCGTCGTCATCCGTGATCTCAGGGCGGTTGGGGTCGCTGCATTAGGAGGGAGAAAATGGGGCACGTAGGCATCTGGGTGTCAAGGTCTGTTAAGCTGCTCTTACAACAGCCAGCGTGACGCAGCAAGAGTAAAGTTGTCCATAGTGATGTGTGTGTGTGCGTGTGACCTCGATGAAAAGCTTCAAAGGCAAAACGATTCGTCACGCTCAAATCCTTGCCCTGGCTGCCCTCATCATCAGTCAGTCTACAGCAGTGTTCCCCATTGCAAGGCCTGCGGGCCACTGGTAGACCCTGATGGCCTTAACTGCGCCCGCCCCCCCCCCTCCCCCGACGCACCCCCATCATGTTGTCAAACCCCAATGGTTTCAAATGTGTGGCGGCTCTCACACTGATGATGTCTTATCAGCGAAAGTGCCCCCACCCCCCTCTCTCTGGTCTGCAGATTCAGTTCAAGATGGTCGCCCTTTGTCACTGTTCTCCACAGCCTTCCACATTATCTGGCCGCCCCCTCCTCAAACACAGTCAAGCCCCGGACACTACTATAGACCTCATCCCTCAGCCCGCTCGTTGTTCCCCTCCCTCGAACCAAAACTGTGCTATTCACAGAGCAGCATTCCCAGAAGCAGCAACAACAGCAACAGCAGAAGCCGCGTCCAATCCAGCATCGGTCGTATGAGGAAGAACACCAAGCCTGGCTGCACAGAGTCTCTGAAAGTGTCCTTTTCGTGAAAATGTGCTCGTTATAAATATTTCTTTATTCATTAATGTGTGAATGCACTTCCATTCTTTTTGGCTAACCATCGGACACAAATGTGCTCCTGCGGCCGCCTAGAACGCTCTTCCTTCCACTATTAGGAAGTCACTGAAAGCTATGCACTTTAAATTCTACTTTGAATACTAATTTATTTAAAACTGATTGTTGTGTTTCGTTTGTTGTTCTTTCCCCGTACCTCCAATTGGCACAGTTGGCTACGTACGGGCTGAAAGAAGTTCAACGTACATACATACATACACAGGTACATCAGATGGTTGTGTGCGGGTGCGTGCGATGCAGGTCAGTGCTGCAAGGGTGCATGAAGCCTGGTCACGTGACCACTTCACATTACTACTTAAGTGCGCCTAGGGCAAGCGCTAGAATGACACGGGTTGTCAGGGCGAGTGCCAATATGGCAAGCGTTGGCGCTGGAGCAGAGGTCAGCAACCAAAATAACAAGAAGAGTAATGTTTTTTTCCAATTCGGTATTCTCAAGGCCACAAAGCGCTGTGAGCACGAGGGCGGCGATCCTAAATGAATAACGCCACGAAGCAGTCCTGCACAGCCCCAGGTTGCTGACCCCAGTGCGAGAGCTATTGTGGCTGGGGTTAGCATCGGGGCTAATTTGCAAGTGGAGCCGAAGCTGCCGGTGAGGCGCCCCCTCACCCGCTCTTGGCGAAGTTGCTCCAGTAGGCGATGACGGTGGCGCTGAGCGCCGCGTCGCCCCGCGAGAAGTTGCACGCGAACATGCGGGAGAATCGCGAGGACGGGCGCAGGAAGGGCGCGCCCAGCACGTAGGGCAGCTCATCGCCATGCGCCGCGTCCGCCCAGGCCGGCCTCGCCGCCGCCGACGACGACGCCGCCGCTCCTCCTCCCCCCACCAGCGCCGGCGGCGCCAGCACGGCTCCCGCCCGCGTCGACGGCGCCGACGCTGCCGTCAAGATCTTCGAGGCCACCGAGTCCCCCCCGCCTTTGATCGACAGCGAGAGAACGACAACAACGACCGCGGGAGGCGCTGAGCGAGTAAAGTGAAGGGCTGCAATTGGATGGAGGTGTATGGGGGGGCAGCAGTCACTCGCCTTAGCCAATGGTGAAGGGGGACAGGAGCAGTAACGGAAAGGAGGGCATGTATGTTGATGCACCGTACGTTGAACTTGAGCATGAGGAAAGAAGGCTACAGTTTAGAGTTAGGCTATCCCTTTATTTAAGTAATCGATTACTCTACCGACTATGGGTTCGATTCATCAACAATTAGTTGAGCGTGACGGGAGGCGATGGGCGGGGCTTTGGTGGCGACGTCATCGGCATCGTCACCACGTGTCACGCTCGGCGTGGCATTTTAGGGGGTTTCCTGCCTTCGTGAGGTAGGGTGCCAGCCGCCACGTTTAATGGAGCCCCATGTAATCGACCACTTAGGAAGCAGTCCATTAGCAAACGTGAACGATAAATCGTGTCCCCTGCTCTCGCTCAGTTCAGGATCAGAATCTGTATTAACACCGGAGGAATCTGATGAGCTATGAAGTTCTTTTTACACAGTAGTTACCACGAGGGCGCAAGCACACGCTCATGAGCGCACATCGGGATCAGAGTTTTCATCACGTACAGTACTCTACTAATCCCCATACTAATGTAACATTCAACATTTATTCATATTACTCTTAATCAGAGTGAATAACTCGTTATTAATAACAACACAAAACAAAAAATCCTAATTATAGCGCTTATCTTTGCAGATAAGCGCTCTTTGCAGATAAGCGCTCAGGGCGAATGTTCCCCTAGAAGTCTGGAGATGCATCTTAGGCTTCGTTGATGAGAGAGAGAGCGAGACAAAAAACAAACCTTGCAATTGCCTGTCAGGTGTGGGCCCTTACTGGCTTCACCGCAGTGGCATAACGTTGACTGCGACGTCCCGAATGTACCACTGCTACTTGAGTGACGACCCCGGAATCTAGAGTGTTCGCAAAGCTTTTCCTTTTATTGCCCGTCACTGACCGTCACTGCTCTCACCTCTATCCTTCACACCGGTCGTGCCGCCGCTGCTGGTGCTGCCGCCGGCACCGACGGACGGGGTGGGTTCCCCGTCGCACCGCTGGTAGAGCGCGTAGAAGTAGGTCGGTGAGCCGAACTGACTGCGCAGGTCGGCCGTGGCCACCGCCGGCGCCACCCACTGATGGTCCGTGAGCAGCGCCAGCAGGGTCTTGCGCCGCATCTCCGCATTGTCCCGGTCAGCCCAGTCCGTGTACATGAAGCGCACCGTCTCGCGCAGCGCCTCCGTCCCCGGCGACTCCGAATCCTGGTCGTCGCTGTCGTCGTCGTCGTCGTCGTCGTCGCCACCGTCGCCCACGACCTCCGCCGCATACAGCCCGTCCACCAGCTCGTCGACGGCACGTGAGAATGCCGCCGAGAAGGCGCCGCCTCCGGCCGGGTTGCGGTCCTCGTAGGGGCCCGGGACGACCGGAGCGGCTCCCGGGATGGCGGGGGGAGCCCCCGGAAGTGCAGGCCTCCGCGACTCCACCGCGGCTACCTTTGCTCCGGGCTTTGCCACCGCTGCGCTCCGCCCGTCGAGGCCGCCCTGCGTCTCGGTGCCGCCGCCAAAACCGCCGCCGCCGCCAAGGCCGAGGCTGAAGGCCGGCCGCTCGTCGGGCTCCAGGAAGGCCTCGGCGAGGCGGAGGCCCTCGGCCTGTGCAACGCCCAGCATCGTGTTGTAGTTGAGGAACTCTCCCTGCTCGAGCAGCGCGCGCGGGTCGTCTGGGATCACCTCCCCGTCCACCGTGGGCGCGAACACGGAGCGGAAGTGCGAAGGCGAGAATGAGAACGGAGAAAGCGGTGGCGGCGAGGACGACGACGACAATGGCGGCGACGACGACGACAAAGAAAACTCAGAGAGCGAGGCCGACGCCTCGACGAGCTCCTCCGTTGACTTGCGCCGCAGGCACGCCATGGCAGCCGGGCCCACCACTGTCACGTCCCGCTGCCGCTGCTGCTGCTGCTGGCGGTGAGGCGCAGAGCTGCGGTGCCGCGGGGGCGGTGGAAGGGGCCGCAGGCAGCCAACGGAGCGCGCCAGGGCAGCCGCCGACAGCTCAGGGCGATGGTTGAGGGCCCAGCTGGACAGGGCCGTGCCGCTCTGAGCAATCACGCGCTGGAAGAGGCCTAGGGGCGGGGTGGGGCGATGGGATGAGACTAGCCCTAAACCAAGGATGGTTTTGAAGAACTGCTAACTTCGTGTAAATGAGGGGTGTTTGAACCCAGTAAACAAAATTAAAACGATGTTTTATTTTACTAGGTAAGGCCCACTGAGCTATGGAGCTCTTTTTCAGAAGCGACCTGACCTACAAATGATTGCTCAACGAAGCGGCTTATCACGTGGAAATTTATAGCAGCAGCCAAATACTTTAAATGCGTGTTGATTCTAAATATCGAGGGAAAAACTGGAGGACAAGGAGAAACATCCACACGACCACGGGGAGAGAGACATGCAAACTCCAAACATACAGGCATAAATGTTGGGATCGAACCCACGGCCTTCTGTGTATACCAGGTGAGATAGTTAACATGTCGCCACTGTGGCACCCTCAGGTTAGAAGGTCCTTGGAATCTGATTAGTAAAGGCCATAATGCACGATGGAAATTTTGGGGGCAAACTGTTACCCCCAACTCTCACCTGTAACCATTGCCGCAACACTTTCTACTGTAAAACCGTGGTGATGGTGGTGGTGGCGGTGGCTGTCAAAAGGGCTGGCTGGTGTTGGCTACGGCAGCGACTTTGGCGGTGGCGATGGCTGAGAAAACGCCCGTTGAATTGACGGTGATGACCGAGGTGGCGATAGCGATGGTGGTGGTGATGTCGGTGGGTGGGGGGGGGTGGTGGCGATGCTCTCCGCGATGACGGTGGCGGCTGAGTGAACGGCGGTGGCGCTGGCGGTGTTGACCGAGGTGGCGATAGCGCCGGTGGTGAAGTTGTCGGTGGGATGGAGGGGGTGGAGGGGCGACGCTCCCCGTGGTGACGGTGGCGGTGTCGGTGTCCGTACCCTCAGCGTGGTGCGACAGCGCGAGGAGGCTGGCGCACGCGGCCCCCGTGCCGGTGCCCACGAGCGTCACGCGCCCCTGGTCACCCCCAAAGTGGCCGACGTTTTCCCGGACCCAGCGCAGCGCCATCACCTGGTCCAGCAGGCCGTAGTTGCCTCGCGCCAGCGAGTCCCCTGTGCTGAAGAAACCTGCGGGCCGGCGGGAGTTGGACTTCAGCGAGGGGTCACGCAGTACGGGGTCAACATTCAATTCAAGAAAGTGATTTTTTGTTGAGTCGTTTAGCGCCGCCGCGTTTAGTATCGTCTGCCTCGTCTGTTGTTATGTTGTCCGATTCATTTGTACCACACGCCCATCTATATATATAAAATCGCGAATCTGTCTGTCTGTCTGTGTGTGTGTCTGTGTGTTGCCGGACCATACGCAGTTTCATTGGACGGCGGTTGCTCCTGGCAACGGGTAGCGACGCCTTCGCCGCGGGGTGGACGCCATTTTTAATTCCCGTTAAAAATAGGCGCAGCGCATTAACACGCGACTCTGAGATAAATTCATCAAAGTTTCACGTCCTCTTCACTCCCCCCCCCCACCACAATGTGTGCAATTACTATTATAGGGTCGGTAGATTATAAAATTATAGCGATTAGACAGTATTATTGTAGCGCGGGGGGGGGGGGGGGGAACGGCACCCATACCCAGCCTCAGCCGGGTGGGCAATTTAGGCGAGGCCGGAGGCTCTGCACGGTGCTAGGCCTCGACACCCACCACGCGACTCTGAGGTAAATTCATCAAAGTTTCACGTCCTCTAGACAGTGGTGAGGGAGGGAGAGTGGTGAGGGAGGGAGAGTGGTGAGGGAGGGAGAGTGGTGAGGGAGGGAGAGTGGTGAGGGAGGGAGAGTGGTGAGGGAGGGAGAGTGGTGAGGGAGGGAGAGTGGTGAGGGAGGGAGAGTGGTGAGGGAGGGAGAGTGGTGAGGGAGGGAGAGTGGTGAGGGAGGGACTCAGCCTCAAAACGAGTAACTGGTGTGGCGTATTAACATCGCCACTGGGGAGACAAAGGCGGCCGGGCGTGGTGGATCCAAGTCCCGGGCGAAGCCGGGTAGTACAGCTGTCATCCGTGTTGGTCGGGGGGAGGTGGTGGTGCGATATGGCAATAATAAGGACGATGATGGGGATGGCAATGATGATGAAGATGATGAGGTGGTGAGTACCGAGCACGCCGAGGCGGTAGGTGACGATCACCACGATCACGTCCCCGTGCGCGGCGAGGGCACTGCCGTCGTAGAGGCCACCCGCTCCGTCCAAAAACGAGCCGCCATGGAGAAACACCATCACGGCCAGGGGCGGCCTCTCACCGGGGACTGACAACGACATCAACGTGAGGAGCATCGGCGTTAGTGTCTATGTTAGCGTCAGCGTCTATGTTAGCGTCAGCGTCTATGTTAGCGTCAGCGTTAGCATCAGCGTGATTGGCACCAACGTTATTGGCATCAGCTTTAGCATCAACATTAACATCAATGTTAGCATCGCACATAGGATTGCCACCTACTCCACAGACCAAGCCTGGACAAAGAGGAACCGCTTGTACCTCGCCTCGTATGCAGGAGGTGCTCTTAGTGAGCTTTCTAGCTTTTTTTTCAGAAGCGACCTGGCCACAGATGATAGCTCAACGCAGTTGGCTTAGCATGTGGAAATTCATAGCAGCCAAATACTCTAAACGCACCGGGAGAAAAATCCACGCAACCACGGGGAGAGTATGCAAACTTCAATTATACAGCCGTCAGGGTGAGGATCGAACCCACAACCTCCTGTATACCGGGCGAGGTAGTTAACATCTCGTCACCATGGCACCCCTCATCTTGATGTTATGATGAGGACCGCAGAGCTTGGAAAATTGTTTGGTGCCAGCTGACTACGTGGTTGCTGCCTTCCCACTTGTATGTAGTTCCTCGCACCATTGAGTCGTTCTCTCTCTCTCAAGAGTGTGCGGCACGTTACAAGGTGAAACCTTTATTGTTGTGCGTACACACGGGTTAGTGCGTATGTGGTGGGAGCGGAAGTGCCGTGGTTAGCGCTCCGTGCTGTGAACCTGACGATTCAAGTTCAACCAATCAATCTTTATTTTATGTGCCAATATCGCCCTCAAACAAGAGTGCATCAGTTCGATTCTCGCTCACGGCCAACACAAGTGACGATTATGTAAACCGGTCCTAGGCCTCCCATAGGTCGATTCAGCCTCACAGGAGTCATGTACCTGGTGCGGTATACATGTAAACACCGCGGCTTTTATAGGTGCTACTCGCTAACAGCACTTGCCCCAACAGTATGTTGAAGGCTATATGGGTGATGTTTGTCTTTGTATGTCCGTATATGTTTCTGTGTGTGGACCGGTAGCATAGCAGTTAGCACGCTGCGCTCCGAACCCGGAGGCCTGAGTTTGATTCCTGCTCATGGCCAACACCGGTGACGGTTATCTAAACAGGTCCTGGGCCTCCCCTAGATCGAGTCAAATGAGTACCTGGTGCGACGTGTAAACATCACCACTGGGGAGACAAAGGTGCTGGCCACCCCACCCCCTCGTGTGCCACAGTAAAGGCCTTCATACAGTGCTGCTCGCTAACAGCACTTGCCCCCCAACAGTGTGTTTGAGGCTATACTGGGGGATATTTGTCTCTGTGTGTACTCTCACCATCACGGCCCGGGATGTACACGTCCAGGTTGAGACATTCCTCGCTCTGCTTGGAGCTTAGCCACGTGGCCAGACGCTCGTTGCCAGCCTCCCACACGGGCAGCATCCCCCAGCCAGCCCAGTCGGGCCCTGCCATAGGGACGTGGACACGTAGACACAGACGCATTGCGGTGCAGACACAGAAAGCAGTTCTAAAGAAATGAGTTTGTCAATCAAGATGATTTAAAAGCACTTAGCTCCAGTGGCTTCCTAATATCGGAAGGAAGAAGTGTTCAAGATGGCCGCAGAATAGCATCTGCAACCAGTGGTGCTGGTTGTAATGAGGAGGATGACGGTGGTGGTAAGGATCGTTTTCCCAGGATCGTTCTCATTTTGATGAGCACAGTTGGCTACGTACGTTGCGATGGAAGTTCAACATTCACACGCGCAGTTGAGTAATACTACAACCCTCGAAATGATGCGTTGACACGTCGTTCTCCCCACTCCCGGTATTGAGATACGGTATTCCACTTCCCATATATCCCGGTTTTCTTGTGCCTCGCAGGTTGTCAACCTTGGGGCACGACAAACGTGCTGGGCCAAAATTTACGATCAATGCGACGGTCATTCCGATGGCGTACGGTTCGTATTTACCGAGTACATCGACCGTGAAGGACATCAGTGTCACATCGCAGGTCATGCACAGAATATCGATACATATCTATACGAACCAAGATGCTGACATCACTGGCCCTCGCCTGGTGTGCAGGAAGTCGTGGGATCGATCCCGATCCTGACGCCTGTATATTCGGAGTTTGCAAATCTCTCGCTCTCTCACCACATAGTCGTGTGGATTTTTTTTCTCTCCAGGGTCCTCCGGTTTTTCCCTCCACGTTTAGAATCAACATCGTGCGTTTCGAGTATTTGGCTGCTATAAATTTCCACACAATGATGGCTACTTCGTTGAGCTTTCATCTGTGATTGCCAGCTCGCTTCTGAAAAGAAGCTCAGCCAGCTTCACCTGGTAAAATAAAAATAGATTGATTTTTAAGTAATTTTATTTATTTAAAATATTTTATTACCACTAACGTGTACACTTCATCCCTTATTTACGCTCTCGGTTGGCCATCAAAGTTCCCACATATTCGGCAGCCCCAAAGATTCTTCTCACCGGCCCATTTGTTTCCTTCGGGACCCAGCTACCAAATGGGGCCAACTGAGAGATCGTGACAGCAAAACCACGCTAACACGTCTTCACATCGCTAGTCTCGCTACTGGTTTACAGCCATTTGTCATCGCACAACCAGTTCAAAAAGAAAATGGCCTATGGCCCGAAATTGGGCCGGTGGGTTCACAAATACCTGCGCCAATGTTTATTATTATAATTCTTCATTTTTACATTTCATATATATATTTTTTAAATCCCGATCAGTCACCGGGGCCCCGCAACGCACCCCTGTGGTTGGGCACCGGCTGGGGGCAGGGGGGGCCCCGCGTCGCCGCCTCCCTCTCCCCGCTCCACACGGCGGGGGGCTCCGCCGCCGAGAAGCGGCGCTCGCCGCGGGGGGCGCGGGCGTACGGCACCCCCAGGAACTGCGTCACGACCAGGGGGCCACCGCCGCCACCGCCAGGGCCTCCAACGCCAGGCGTCCCCGCAGGGCCAGCTCCAGGTCCCTCTGCACCTGGCACGAGAGACGGTCGGCCGTGAAATCACAACGAGAGTGAGTACGTCGTCGATGAGGTAAGGTCACACACTCGTCGCCATCTTCCAAGTTATTTCTGCCCCCGCCCCCCACCTCCTCATGCCTATCATCAGAATCTGAATATTTATTTATACTGGAGGAATCCCGTGAGCTATAAATGGCACTTTTTCACACGTGTCCAGTAGGAGGACCGGGTTAGAATGTTGCAACAACAAGCAATACAAACACACGACAGGAGTGAAAATTACAAGAAAGGCAAACGAATCACCCCAAACACACACAAATTAAACTAAACCATCCCCCATCCTACCAGGCAAAGCCCACTGAGGCATTAACTTATTTTTCAGAAGTGACCCGGCTACCATAAATGATAGCTCAACAAAGTGGCTTATATCATGTGGAAATTTATAGCAGCAAAATAATATAAATAATCTCCATGCATGTTTCTAAATGTGTTAATTGGTATGTATGTTACATATGTTGACCTTCTTTCGCACCGTGCGTAGCCAACCGTGCTAATCTGAGGGGCGCGGGAAGGACAAACTAACTTTAAAGCAGTTATGAATAAATGAGTTTTCAATCTGGATCATTTTAAAGTGCCTAGCTCAAGTGGCTTCCTAATATCGAAAGAAGAGCATTCCAGATGGCCGCACGAGCGCATCTGAAAGCGCACGATGCGGTGACCATCTTTGTTCGATGACGAGGAAAATCAATTCCAGGAGAAACGTTCTAAGCCTAGCTGTGATCTCGTATAGGCATAAACGGGAAATTATTATCCTAATAATAACTTAGGCGTCTAACTTGTAACGTTTACGGGTTACGTGACACCATCACAGAACAAACGCATTTAACTGTTTGTCTGTTATCGGACCCTGCATACTGTGCTCAACACACCGCCGATCTCCCTCGAAAAATTGTCTGGGAAACTGACTGAGCGGATTTATCCACGTAACAAGTAAAATAAACCACAACTCAAACTGCACTCAAAAACGTCCGCCATTAATACCCGTCGGCAGAAAGTTGTTTTTCTTCACTGGTGAACCTGCAGGAATCCATACTCATTGGTTTTTTCGGTAAAGTCACGTAGGTATAAAATAAAATAAATCACGACATTTCGGGGCGCAACACAAGCGTCCGTCATCACAAGCGTCCGTCATCACCTGATGACGGACGCTTGTGTTGCGCCCGAAACGTCGTGATTTATTTGATTTTATACCTACGTGACTTTACCGAAAGAACCAAAGAGTATGGATCCCTGCAGTCACGAAAGCTTCAAATCAAGACTGCGTGCTTCAATTCAGCTGTCTGGCACTTGTAACTATCTGTCTCCTGGCAGACGACGATTGTGTCCAAATGTTCATCGGCAGTGATGACACGGGACGAAAAATGCATCACCTTCACGGGGCAAATTTTTACCAACACAAGCCACGGCAAATGTGACTCTTTTAATCTCTGCAATAAGGCACGGCAAACGCGAACCACCCCCCACGTTTGATTTATGGTTTTGCGTTAACATTTTTTGTCACCCAAGGCGGGCTGGGCGGGCAGTCGGGTAGGGGGCGGTGGTTGTCAGCACACTTTTGGGAAATTCAACTTGTCACGGTTTACTCGATGAACTCTATCCCCACACGTGTATTTCCGTGACCGCCAATATCCGCTTTATTCCTGCTCGCCCGTCATCCAAAAGTAAATCTCTCAACAGCAGCGCGACCTTGGCCAAGCTTGAAAGCGTCAGTCCGGCACCGGAGCTTCTGCTTGCCACCGCCTTGCCAAGGTCTTGCCCCGCGTGATGTTTCACCCATTCACAAACGCCGCACGCAAATTCGTGTACACACCTCATTATAAAGTTGTTTTTGGGGGGGGGGGGGGGTTAGATCGGGTAAGTATACAAGTGTCCTTAACCCGTCGCTACCTGACACAGCCAAAAGGTCCCAATTAGTTTACGACTTCAGCCCAACCGGTTGTGCGTTGCAGAGTAAATCCACAACATTCACAATTTGAGTACTGTGACATTTCGCCGGTAATTACATCCAGCATCATCGGGCTATTTTACACATTTAAACTTACGCGATCTCACCCCAAAAAAGACCTTTACTATGAATAACACTGGTCGCGAAAGACCTCAGTGCCGTACACACGCCTGTCACCGTGCCGCGGCCTGATTCGCCGGTACGTTTTCACCCGCCGTAACCGACTTGCGGAAGGCGACAAAGGGGAGGGAAAGAAGCACATGGGCTCGTGTCTTTTAGAATGTGCAATCGTGCAAAGGGGGCCACCGGGCCATCGTTGATCACGTGATGCATCTGCCACCTAGTAGCACAAATCTGAAGGGAGGCGGGAGGAACCACCACCCCCTCACCCCCCGGTATAACAAACAGGGCCGTGCCATCGTTCACTCTTCTTCTTTTGTGTGGCATTTTTTTGGTGGGGGGGGGGGGGCGGCGGGGCGGATTGCAACAGATTCGTTTTGGACCGGCCTCGAGAGATGATGATCGGGCGGTCGTTCACGACAAGTTGCACCGTGCCGGGATGTCGCGTCGCACGGCCACGAACTGGACTCCCTCGTTCACTGCCGCAATGTTGTCTACCGAATTGATGCGTTAAACGCCTCCGATGTAAGGTGACCGGGTGGCTCCAAGAGGCCATACATGCTGATAGCACACTCGACATTTTTAAACATTTGAGGGGTATTTTTTCTATCGAGCGTTTACACTCATTGGAAACCCTTTGCTAAAGACACGGGCCGGATCACATCCCACGTAAACCCCTGGCAGTACGAAGTATGTCCATTTGGTGGCCGTTTCACCTGGGGGAATGCCTTCATTATTCAGTGTGAAGCGCAAATTAAATTAAACCTATGCAATGTTCTTCACGCGCGTTTTTTTTTTATTCCCGTGATGCTGCGCAATAACCCGCGTTTATCACGGTTAGCTACGCACCTCCGATTAAAATGGTTGGCTACGTATGGTGCAAAAGAAGTTCAACATACATACGTACACATACATACGTGTTTTAACACTGCAAAGTTGTTGATACAGATTGATCGATCGATTCTGTTTGGTTACAAAGTTGCACATCACATCCCCGTCACGTTTTTTTTCCCCCTGGATCGTCCTCCTTTTGAATGCAGCAGGAGCTGTCCGTGGGAAATCTGTAATAAATTCAAAGTCCCAGTTTTTTTGTCAGTTGCACAATGGCACACCGGACAATGCATTTACGTGAAGGTCTCCCCATCAATCCTGTACTTTTCCTCTGCAATATTGACTCTTTTTTATTGTCCCTGTGCTCGCGTGCACCGCGGATCTCCCTTCATAATATAGCCAGGGCAACTGGATGAACGGAATCATCATCCGTGTAACAAATAAAAATAAAATACAAAACTAATCTTCTAGTAATATGAGATATTTATTGTATGTATGTATATATGTTGAACTCCTTTCGCACCGTACGTAAGCCATGCTACTTGGAGGTGCAGGGGAAGGACAACAAACGAAACACAACAATCAGTTCTAAATAAATGAGTGTTCAATCTAGACGATTTAAAAGGGCATAGCTCCGGTGGCTTCTTAATATTGGAAGGAAGAGCGTTCTAGTCTTTGTTCGACGGCTAGCCACGTCCCGAATTTTTGTACCTCACAGGTTTGCAACCATACCAGTCCACGGTCCACATGCTCCTCCAAACCTTCACCCCTTCACCAACTCGCGTGGTGAAGCAAGATCGAATAACCTCCGAGGCCCTTAGATCCAGCAGCGGATTGACAAGCGGCTTGTTCATGCACACGAATGTATGCAGACACACGCACATTCAATTATATCGGAGGGGGAGTGGTGACACGCTGGTTCGAACGCCCAGTTACCCAAGTTGGAATCCCGGACGCTGCTAACATTGGTGTGAAGCGATAAATCTCATCCCACATTGACCCACGTGGCCAAATATGGTTAAACGATCGACATATGACATAACAAGGCCCTTATCCACGAGTGGATTGATGAATTCCATTAATTATTTGCAGTAAAGAACTGTATTTTACACATTTTAATATACCGTAGGTTACAATGAAATATGAATATTGTAATAGGTTGGTAATAGTGTACAGTACTGGACCAGCAGGTAAAATGGCGTCCTAATTTACATAACAACATGGCAGTCGTGTTCTATCCCTCGACAGGACATCCAAGGTGATCCACGCAACTTTATTTAACCTCAAATTTGAGAGCCCACCCCGACAATCGACGAGGCAAGTGAAACGCCTTCAGGGTCAAGAGGTCATCACTGCCAACGATGTTAATACCCATGTGTCATGACCAAACATAGCCAAACGTGCTAATCGGAGGTTGCGAACATTTGAATGCAAAAAAAAGTTATTTTACGCGATAGAAAAAACGGCACTGTTTAACCTTCAGTATGAGCATCGAACAACTTGACTGACTGCACAATCGACCAACTGACCAATGATTTGGCAACAGCTAACTTGCCTCACCAACTGACAGAGTGAACAATAGCCTGACTAAGGAACTGTCAAAGTTATTATTATCTACCTGGATACGTGACTGACTTTAACAACTATCTTACTGGTTATCTAGCCGTCCTGCCTGATTGACTAATGAGCTTATCACCTGACCCAACCATTGATTTACTGGCTTATTAGGTTACCACTCGATTGGATAAATTATTAATTGCTCGACTGGCCAGGTAAATTGATTTGCTGAGGACCAGTTTCCATGTCTGCACGAATAATTAAACCACCGATTGTCCGAATGTATCGACTGCCTCACTCACCGGCCACTCCGCACAGCGGCTATCAGAGCACTTGGCTACGGTCGTATAGGGGTTGTGAGTGTGTACTTATTTTGCACCGTACGTAGCCAACCGTGCAATTCAGAGGTGTGGGGGAACAATAACAGAACAAAACACAAAAAGCAGTTCTAAAGAAATTCGTTTTCAATCTCGATGATTTAAAAGTGCATGGCTCCCAGTGGCTTCCTAATATCAGAAATAAGAGTGTTCCAGACGGCTGCTAGATTGCATCTGAAAGTGCATGATGCGGTGACTGTCTTTGTTCGATGGCCAGCCAGAAGCCGCCGCTGCGAGGACGTTCGGAGTTGGGAGGATACATTTCTGTCAACTCGTCGATTCGGCCCATCATACAATCATCGTCATTCTGCCAGGTTTGATTGGAAAAAAATGCATACCACTTTGTTCGAAATCACAATGAGTGACCAATAGTCTTACCGCACGACTATCTTATACACTGACTGTTCACTTACCCAACTAAATACCCGCCTGCCTGTTTCTCCACCCGTTTGACAACCGCATTACATGACTTACTGCTTAACCTACTGTCTTCCCTTTGCTGAATCGTCTACCCGACTGCCTGGATAAAAACGGTTTCTCGACTATCCACCTGCTTGATTGACTGACTCACCCGAGTGCCCAATTGACTGCTGAACTAGCTACTCAAATAACTCGCTGACTTTTATTACTGCCACCTGACTGACTGCCTAAATGCCTGCCTGGGTGCCTGCCCCTTTTCCTGGCTGCCTCCCTCTTTGCAGAGTTTACACACCTTTATTATTTATTTCCAGTAGTTTCAAATTAGAGAAGTCAAAATCCGCCTATGCTGCCCCCTCCCCCCCCCCCCCGTCCGACACCCCCTGCAGCCTGGGATGGACCCTCACCTCTCCCGTCGGAGCGCAGCACCGCGTCGGGCGAGGGCAGGGAGACGCGGATTCCCCGCAGCTTGCCATAGTTGGTGGCCACGACGGGGCGATTCGGCTCGTTCAGGCGACGGCGTCCACCGCCGCCGCCGCCCTTCCCGCCGCCTCCCTTGCCATCATCGTCACCTTCATCATCGTCGTCATCGTCGTCTTCATCGTCATCGTCACCACCGAAGATGCCCCCGCCGCCGCCTCCGCCAACACCGCCCTTCTTCGGGAGCCCGAAGTCGTCGCCGAAGTTTCCCCCCTGGCCGTGCCTCGTCTTCTCCTCGTTGATGCGCTGCACGTTGTAGTTGAGCTCCTCGTCGACGATGCTGCCGATGCCTCCGCCGATGCCGCCGTCGTCGCCGTCGTCGTCGTCGTCGCTGTAGAAGGTGCGGCGGCGGCCCGGGTCCCGGGCGCGCGGGACGCCGGCCGCGCACACCCCCACGGCGAGGAGGCCCACGGCCATGCGGACCCACGGGCCCGCGCCCATCCCCGCTCCGCCACGCACGCGCACGGCACCACCACCCCCCTCTCGCTGTGCTTACCTCCGCCTAGTCCTCCTCCTCCCTCCTCCTACTCCTCGTTCCTCCCTCCTCCTACTCCTCAACAAGTCCTCTCTTCTCTTCTGATGCCTCTCTCTCCCTGCTCTTTGTGGTTGTCTCCCTGATCTTTGTCGCCTGGCTCTCGTTCGCTCTCACTCTCTCTGCATTTCTTCTTTCTCGTGTTGATCTGTCTCTTGGAGTTTTTCTCCCTCCTCTAGTCCACCATCTTCTACTCCTTTGTGTCCATTCCTTCCTCCTTGCCTTGTTGAGTTATTTATGTTCTACTTGGTTTCTTCCCGTTCTCTAACCTGCTCGTCTTCCTCCACCTCGTCGTCTCGTCTACCTCCTCCTCTGCAGAATCTCCTCCCTCCGCTTCTGCTGAATTCTCGTTTCTCCCTCTCTCTCACTCTCCGTTTTCTCTATTTTCCTCTTCACCACTCTCGATTCCTTCCCTCGTTTGATTTTATCCGGCCTCTCACTCTCCGTGATCTCTCTCTCCCCCCTCACTCGTTGTCGTTTCTCTCGCCACTCTCGTTCCTACCGTCTCACTCAATGCCGGTGGTTATCTGGCTCTTGTTCCTCTCCCTCTCTCTCCTCTTCCCTGTTGACTCCTCTTTTTACCGCTCTTCCCTATACTATTTTCCTCTTCTTGAGTTGACCCTTTGTGTGTGTCTTTCTCTCTCTATATTTCCTACTCCTCCTGATCTTCCGTTGATCCTCCCCTCCCTATTCCTCTTCTATCTCCTTGTTTTTGTTCTTCCAGTTTTCTCCCTCTTCCTGCTCCTCTTTTTCCGTCCGTTCGTTCCCCTCTTTGTGATTCCCTACCTCGTTTTTATATTCCCTTCGTGTCCTCCTGTACAATTTTATTTTCAACCGATTTCTATTGCCTCTTCCTCCCCTATTGCCTCTTCCTCCTCTTGTCCCCCACCCCCACCTACTCCCCCCCCCCCTGCTCCTTAGCTTCTCTGTCTTTGCGTTCCCTCCGCTCCGTTCCTTCCTCTCGTCTCTCCGCTCCTCCCGCCTCTGCTCACCGCCCCTTCTGTCGTCGCGCTCCTCCTTCTTCTTCCTCCTCCTTCTCCTCTTCGCCGGCCACCTCCTTCTCCCGATCTCTCCTGCCCTCTGACCTCTTCGACGTCTCTCCTCGCCGCCGCGACCTCGTCGTCCGCCCAACCCAGTCGAGGCAGCACGCGGGGTCTCTGAACAACGGCGGGATGGGAGAGAACGTGTCAACAGCGACATCATCAACAGAGTCGGTGGGAAACATCATCAGCGGCACATAAACACCGCAATATATACACACAAAACGCGTCGTTATATATAACAAAATGGATTATCGTCGTCGATATAGCCGCCGCCATCATTACCATAACCTGAGATTGTCACCGGTTACCGTTGACACCGACAACGTAATCAGTCATCAAAAGCATCAACATTTACATCACAGCTGCGGTGCAGCAAGGATTGCGCGCAATGCCGGAGGCGGTGCCTGTGCAAGTCGTGCCGGGCACCTGTCCCCCCACAAGGCCATGTGGATGGATGTGAGTCCGTGGGGTGGACGTGGGGCCATTAGGGTGGACGTGGGTCAGTTGGGTACGATCACTCACCACCCACTCACCCGCTCACTCGCACACTCACCCGCTCACTCACACACCTGCTCACTCACACACTAACACACTCACCCGCTCGCTCACACACTCACCCGCTCACTCACACACTAACACACTCACCCGCTCACTCACACACTCACCCGCTCACTCACACACTAACACACTCACCCGCTCACTCACTCACTCACTCGCACACTCACCCGCTCACTCACGCGCTCATCCGCTCACTCACACACTCACTCGCACACTCACCCACTCAGCTGTCCACTCACACACTCACCCGCTCGCTCACACACTCACCCGCTCACTCACACACTCACCCGCTCACTCACACACTCACCCGCTCACCCGCTCACTCACCTTTCGACTCACACACTCACCTGTCCACTCACACACTCACCTGCTCACTCACACACTCACCCGCTCACTCACACACTCACCCGCTCACTCACACACTCACCCGCTCACTCACACACTCGCCCGCTCACTCACCGGCTCACTCGCACACTCACCCGCTCACTCACGCGCTCATCCACTCACTCGCACACTCACTCACCCACACACACTCGATCACACATTCACTCGTTAATTCACTCCCCCCAATCCCTCGCTCATTCACGCATTCACCCACGCGCTCATTTACTCTCTCACTCAGTCACTCGCACTCCCACTCGCTCACTCACGTGTGCACCGACACACAAATCCATAACTCACCCCGGATTTTTTTCATTCATTGCTTCTCTCTCTCCCCCACGTCGCATACAGTGCATGAGCGCATCTCTCCCACTCTCTCCCACTCTCCCTCATCTCTCCCCCCCCCCGACTCTCTCCGGGAATCTCTCCCCTTCGAACCCTCTCCCCCAATCTCTCTCTACCACTCTCTTTTTTGTACGATCACAGAAAACAAGAAGATGCTCGGTGTAGTCGGCACTTTGCTTCGTTCATCATTTAGTTTGTTTCAATGCTTTGCTTTATGTGCCCCCCCCCCTTTTTTTAAATTAAAGATTTCACAAAAGATTTCACGCTCTCCTCTCCTCCTTCTTACCCCTTTCTTCTCTCTCTCCCTATGTGTTCTATGTACATATTTGTATTTTTTACAAGTGCTGCATCTGCACCCAGCCCTTCTCGCAGTCTCTCTCCCTCCCAGCGCTCACCCACTCTCTTCCCCCATCGTTCTCCCTCTTCAACTCTCTTCGCCTCCCACCATCTCCCCCCCTCTGTGTGCGACCGTCTCCCGCACTCCGCGTCCTCGATTCGCACGGTTGGCTACGTACGGTGCGAAAGAAGTTCAAATTACATACATACAACTATAGAACAAGCCATATACACAGCTGTATACAGAGCTACACACAAATACCTCCGTATACACACATAGCTACTAAGCAACATACGTAGCTATACACAACGACATGCCCGCCCCTTATCAGTGCCCTACCTTATTACAGACCAATTCAGACATTATTGGTCACCTCGTGCCCCTTATACATCTCAACGTTCATCCTGCAAAGCCCCATCGCAAGGGAGAAACACAAACAAATAGACAAAAAAATGTATTGAAACGGCTGTACGCCGTATGGATCTGAAAACGCAATTACCCCGCACAAGAATACGGGGTAAAGCACATGGGTTGACAGGTGTGACATACACACATAGACTCGGCTATATTGTACACAGCTACACACAAACACCTCCGTACACACACACACACACAGCTACCAAGCAACAGACGTAACGACCCACAGCGACATACACACCGAGACAAAGACACGCATACATCCATCGCTCCTCATAACCTTCAGCTCTTCCCCTACATCTCTTCTCAGACTCGCTCTCTCAAAACCATCTCTCATACGGAGGTGGGGGCCAGATGCCAATCGCAGGTACAGGCCGCTGAGTTGGCACTGCTGAGATCCCTGGGGCTAGAATCCAAGGCGCCACGATGTCGCCTACCTCGCCTGGGACACAAGAGGTCGCGTGGGGTCGATCCCGCGACCCTGGCGATGTCTCCTGCATATTCTGAATTTGCGTGTCTCCCGTCGCTGTAGGTATCTCCTGCTGAATTTATACGATGCTTAGAGCATACAAATGTCCAGTTACAGGTTAGCACTTTTTAACTGATTAATATGGCCAAACTAGAATATTAAATGCAAATAAAAGTTGAATTTGAATTGTTTAGTATGTCTTTTATACTGAAGCTTTTGTATGTATATGTCTAGAGGGGTGAACTTGTTTGTCCAGTTAATTTGTTTAGCTTCTTAAAAATAACACCTAGAGCTCGTTTAAAGAAGTGTTTGTCGTTATTAAAAATTTGACAAATAAAGCAATTCTTCTCCTCGTGGTCGCGTCGAGTTGTCTCCCTCTCTCCCCTGTCTCTCGGCATTGTCCAATCAACTTGCACTGGAACGTCTCTGACTAACCACCTCTCCGACTCTCTCCCTAAATTCTAGATTTGAAGTTTTCGTGACTGCAAGGATTCATGCTTTTTGGGTTTTTTCGGTAAAGTCACGTAGGTGAAAAATAAAATAAATTAAAATAAAAACAACTAAATTTAGTTGTTTTCATTTAAAATTTTCATTTAAATGAAAATGAAACTACATTTATTTGTTTTCATTTAAATTAAAATGAAATGAAAACAACTAAATTTAGTTATTTTCATTTTAATTAATTTTATTTTTTACCTACGTGACTTTACCGAAAAAAACAAAAAGTATCTCTCCCCAAACCCCTTCAAAATCTCCATCACCTAATAATCATAATAAACGCGTGGCAATTAGGGTGCCGCTTAAAAAAAATCAAGTTTGTTATTTTTCAAGGTCACACACACACACCACCAACTTCCACTTCTATTAATTCCCACCCCCTCTCCCCGCTAAACTGAAGCCACTGCGAGTCCACAGGCAACCCCCTCTATCTTCTTGGTTCTTTCGGTAAAATCACGTAGAAGGGAAGTAAAAAATAAAAGAATATGATAGTATAATGTATAATATAAAATAATATAATAATTATAATACAATAATATTGTTTTATTATGTAAATGTTTTATTATTTTATTAAATAAAACATAATAAAATAATATTATTTTATTATGTTTTGTTATTATTATTTTATTAAATAAAACATAATAAAATAATATTCTTTTATTATGTTTTATTTTTATTATTTTATTAAATAAAACATAATAAAAAAATATTCTTTTATTATGTTTTATTTTTATTATTTTATTAAATAAAACATTATAAAATAATAGTATTTTATTATGAGTTATTTTTTATTATTTTATTAAATAAAACATAATAAAATAAATTATTTTATTATGTTTTATTATTTAATTCCTTCCCTTCTACGTGACTTTACCGAAAGAACCAAGAAGATGAATCCCTGCAGTCACGAAAGCTTTAAATCGAAACCCCCTCCACGTACAGCGGCATTCATTTACTGGGCGATCACCGCATTTGGGGCCAGACCCATCGCGGTCAACACACAGCGAGTCATCGCGTAGGGCCGTGGTTCTCCTTCTTTATCTTCTTGTTGACCTGGGGGGCACGCACCCCCCTGGGCGTGCGAGATGCCCTTGCTGTGGGCTGCGAGACGTGGCCAGAAAACACAAAATTAAGCACGGGCACTTTTTTGTTTAAATAATTGAGAACCAAAGGAGTGCAAAGCTGCAAGAAAGGTTAAGAACCACTGACGTGGAGGGACAGGACACAGAGGACAAGAGGTGGTGGTGGGGTGGGGTTTGGGGAATCCTGAGCAACCTGTAAATATGAACGGATTTCAATGACATTTATCAGCAGTTTGACCTTTACACCAAAGGTGTGTGTCTGTACGTTGAACCTCCATCGCACCGTACGTAACCAACCGTGCTGATCGTAGGTAACACGCCGAGACGAGGGTGTGGTCCAAGTCAAACGGGAACGTCGCTTTCCCATACGCATGTCGAGCGGCACCCGAGTGCGGCATGTTCCGTGAATCGGAGGCAATGTTCGATGAAAACCTCGGAGGCTTGGAGCCGGAGCTCAAAGTCCCCCTTGCATGCCAGCCTGACCAGGTGAGAACATGAACAGGTGAGAACATGACCAGGTGAGAACCTGAATGGGTTAGGCCTGACCAGGTGAGAGCCTGACCAGGTGAGAACATGACCAGGTGAGAACCTGAATGGGTTAGGCCTAGGCAGGTGAGAGCCTGAATAGGTGAGAGCCTGAATGAGCCAGGTGTAGACAGGTGAGAGCCTGATCAGGTGAGAGCCTGAATGGGCCAGGTGTAGACAGGTGAGAGCCTGAATGAGCCAGGTGTAGACAGGTGAGAGCCTGAATGGGCCAGGCCTAGACAAGTGAGAGATTGACCAGGTGAGAGCCTGAATGAGCCAGGTGTAGACAAGTGAGAGACTGACCAGGTGAGAGCCTGAATGGGCCACGTGTAGACATGTGAGAGCCTGACCAGGTGACAACCTGAATGAGCCAGGCCTAGACAAGTGAGAGACTGACCAGGTGAGAGCCTGAATGGGCCAGGTGTAGACAGGTAAAAGCCTGACCAGGTGAGAGCCTGAATGGGCCAGGTGTTGACAAGTGAGAGACTGACCAGGTGAGAGC